ATATATACATATAAGCTTTAGTATTTTTATTTTTTATTTATTTATATTTGCACTATCCGAAACACATTTTACATTTAAGGTTGTTTGTTTGTTTATTGATTGTAACCAAAGGGGTAAAAAGTAGTGGTTATTTTTTTCATATATAGAGAATATAAGATATGTTTTAACCAATCGGCTTTAGTAAAAGCAGTGTTATCAAAGAGGCAACGTCCACACAGAGAGCAGGAAATGAATGTTAGCTAACAACTTAAACTTTAACATAAATAAGTTAATAATATTGACAAAATTGCAAGTCAGTCCGTCCACTTAACCTAAACCTACATAGTTTGTCGTAAACAGCAACTCAGTTGTTGTTTTTAATGTGACTAATGTCTGTTGTTGACAGTGGGGTTGTTCGTCTAGCCTCAAACCGTGACACCTTTTTTCTTTTTTTCTTTTTCCAATTTGTTCCCAACAAGAAGCGCGCTTACCTTCAGAGCCTTTTCTGTTTTACGCCTCAGTGAAGCCAGCGTTTCACGTCCGAACGTCAGGAAACTTCGACGACAGACATAAAAAGCAACAGGTGACACCGGACAGGTAAATGTCTAACACACCTTCTTCCTCCTTTGGGAATGACAACCGGACGAAACTCTTTTTCCGAAACGCCTCCGCTCCCTGTTTGACACGGTGACGTCACTGACGTGAGCCCCATCAAACGGGTTTAGAGAGAGGGAGAAARAGAGAGAGGTCTCACTCTGTCTGGAGTCCGAGTGCGAGAGGGGAAGGGATGGCCACGCCCACTGGTAACACGACTTGTTTTTTAATAACAAAATAACAAAATAAACCAATAAACAAGTTTACACCTTATTTAGATTCAGACATTTTTTCCATTTATTGTTGAACACTAAACTAAAACAAACATTTCCTGTTGCATCTCAGTAATCCATGTAGAAAAATCAAAAAGAAGAAAAAATGGACTCTTTAGTTCACCTGAAACTCTCAGACTGAAGAAGTCTCTTGAAGGAGACGAAACGTTTCATTAAAGAAGAACCCGTCCAGAGGACATACTTATATATTTTTAAAACAAACGCAATATGCTGAGCCTAATGTTTAACTAAATAGCAAGAAAAACAGATATAAATCTAACAATGTCAAATATTTTTAATCTGAAAACCAACTATAAATTTATGTGATTAGTGAAAATGTTTTATGTTGTAAAACAACTTGCAAAACACAAATTTTCAAATCATTTTCCTTTATTGATTATAAAATAAAGCTTCCTTTGATGTATGAACATGTTTAGTTTAGGAAAGCCAGTTAACCGCTAGATGGCGCTTTAGCTTCAATAGTCTGGAAATGTTAGAAAAAATTGCTGCACAAATGTTATCAGCTTTCTCTTTAGGATAACGCAAATAATTCAGACTGGGACCATTATTTATATCTTTATTTGTTTTTGCTTTAATTTTGGTTTTGTCAGACATATTGGAGAGCACTAGCCTGGTTAAAACCAGTCACCACCAAGATGTTTTGACACATTCAAGCTTCAAATTTTGCCTTTCTGCAACAATCCAGCATGAGGTGTAATAATGTTTTTTAAATTTATGTTCTGGGTGTATTGTAGACCCTACGTCAGACACTAAATTTCTCCAATAAATGCTTAATGAGCAGCCCAGGTGAGCTGAAATGATGTTTGTCAGGTGAGTGTCACAGCGAGCCCAGGCCTGGGTCTCAGTGTGTGACGCTGCTGTGGCCAAAAACAGCAGACTGTGAGCTCTGGCTGTCAACATCTGCTCCAGAGACTGTACCATCTGCCCGAGGCCCCAGGGGCCGAGTGCTGTTCCTCATCTCAGACCAGCTGCAGAGGCCCAGAGGTGGACCAGAACTCAGCCAAGACACAGTCAGAACCTCTGAGCACTGGAAGAGGTGTCCCACACATTTAGCCATGTTTCATTTAAAGGGTTTTATTCACAAAAAGCTTTAGACAACTTCAACTTATGCATTATTATTTTTCTCCACACAGTTAAAAAGAAATTTAAAGTATTTTTTTAAACTGCAGATACAATAAAAATTTTACATAAAGAGAAGCAGGAAAATTACAGCATTTTTTGTGAAACTTTAGTAGGAATGATGACACTTTATGAATCATTAATAAATGTTTATTATGCAATAATTAAGGATGAAAAAGAGACAAAACAGTTCGGTTTCTTACCAAATACGACAAATCTGTTCTCGTAAATATTACATCTAAAGGTGCTTTATTAAACATTTCAGACTAGGTTACTACACTGTAAGCACAATAGCGATAAGAAACACATATTTTATTATATTAATATTGTACTGTGTTGCTGCATTATAAACATTCACAACTGTCAAAGGGAGACTTATCGTAACGTGTAATACAGTACACTATTTTTAATGACAAATAAACATTTATAAATGCCAAAAGCTAGTCTTTAATGTGAAAAATCACCGTTTTTAAAACTTTGTGTTGATTATCAATATTTGATATTATTGTTCAAACATACTGTCAACAATGATGATGTATCAAAAAAGTAAAAAAAAACATCATGTTAACACACCAAATAATCCCACCCCATCCAAAATAGTGTACTTTTACACTTTACAATAAGGATCCCTTTGATATTTGCGGATATTTATAATGCAGTAATACAGTACAACAATATTATATGTTAAAATATGCATTTCCTAATCATTATTGTGCTTAAAAGATAAACTAGTCTGAAATTTTTAATACCCAAACAGTTCAGTATTTGGAAAGAAACCGGACAGTTTAGTCTCAATGCATAACAAATATAATCCATCTATTATCTATCTATAATAGAT